GTTAACTGTTGATGGACTATTGTAGTGTAATTACTAACCTAGTTACACTCTTATGAAACTTATTTGCTGAAACGCAGCGATAACATTATGAAGTCAACGACTTGAAAATGCAGTTCCTAATTTCCAGCCAATTCTGCTTTGATGATCTTCCGGAGAAAACTTTCAACGTGTCCTTTACCGTAACCAAAGCTTGGCAGTGCTGGGGGAATTATGAGACTTTCTACGCTGAATGATGGTCACTAACGTGTCTCACCTCAGATGAAGCACACAGATCAGTGGTTGAAGAAGTACCAAACTTTACTTCGTCATAATAGATTGCATTTTTTTTGCGAAAATGTCAAGATTTTTATTAGGCTCCTTTGGGTCACTAGGTTCTGTCGTTCCTGTTCTGTTTCACCACACTGCAAATTATTATTATTATAATTATTATTTTATTTCACCAGTTCAAAGTAATTAGAAAATTAAAAATAAATTGATGAATAAAAGAGGAACACACAACATCTACAATTCAGATAAAAAAAATAAGGATTTTAGTGTACACAGTGTTACCAATTTTGATTTCTGGTCATTTTTCGCGAATTGCTGCATTATTTTTGCAATTTTAACTGACTATTGGGAGTGAAATTTCTGACCTGAAGTATTTCCTTAATGCAAAAAATAATATTTCACAGCAGCTCTATGAAAAAGTAGTCCCTAAACCGACGTAACCAGTTTACGATCACCCTAAACTTCAATGTAAAAACTATGACACTGCATATTTAGAGATATTTTGGCAGCCACGTGCAATTGTGCTAATGAAAAAGACTTCTGATCAATACCTGACTTGAAACAGTGTTCCCGTAACCGAAGACAGCATAGCAACATTAAAATCACTCACAAAAATCATATAATAGCTAATACAAAGTAATATTTCTCACGCGGAGGAAGTGTGGTAGTCATCAGAGATTTTTACAAATTAGATATATTTCCTCAGGGCTGATTTTGGTGGAATTTTAATGACATTTCTTAAACCATTTTGAAATGTACAGTGAAAAACAAAATCTATTGTAATTTGTGATAGATTAGGCCTGAAAAATTTTCTTGGTTGACTAGACTATATATTGATTTTCATAATCTTCACGAACGTACAGTATTTTAGAATTTCATGATATAATGCTCGTTTAGTTTCATATTAACCAAATTATATCTGCACCTGTTAGATGGCAGTCTTTATTATTCTGGCATAATTATAAACCGCATTCCTCATATATATGAGCTTTAGGTACACCATTTATAAACTTTGAACTAGATTAAGGACTTGCAAGAGGGACTGTTCAATGTGCAGGAGGGTGGCTGCACTTTCATCAGCATGAAGAACCACCTCACCGTAGTCGTCGCCTCTCATTACACTGACGCCCGAGGCCAGACACCCTTCTGCATAAGTCAGAGAGGAGTCAATTCCTTACAAGACTATGTATGGGGCTTCAGGTGTGATTCGTATATTTATAAAACTTATCATGTACAAGTAAGGCAGCCGGATATAAATTCAGGTGCGAACATTTTGAACATAACTAGTAAAGATAACCAAACGAAAGTAAACTAAGGCTTTTATGCATATTGCACTTCATGAATATAATTATTTGCACATAATCATACTCAAAACCTGTACTGGCTCACATGATTTCTTTTATTTTGCGCATCTTATACAAATATGTAACATATTTCCTTGCTCTTTGGATAATTTAAGTTAAACTTGTCTTTAATCTCAAATTTGTTTTTTTTTTTCGTTTCATTAGGAAATGATACTGAAAGAGATACAGTAACTAGATTTACAACAGAACTTTCTTCCTGAGTTAAGGACTTTCTACTTTGACGTTATCACGTTTTTACATTCAGATACTGTAATCCACATCGCATCTGGAATTTTATCATCATCGTGAGTGATAGTGACTAAGTTCTTATGTATATTTTCAGTATATGAAATTCGCTGAAAGCCTTTATTTCTAGAAAATATATCGACCATAGGCCTATAGCTGACTCACTAGTACAGAGAGTCCTTTTTATTCCTTAAATTATATGCTCTTTGATATTCATCTTATTCACATTGGAAATGGAAACAAATCTTTAAAAAAAAATCTAGCAATTAGTATGTTACTTATTATGTAGGTTCAGAGCATTAATCCGTGTTTAGGTATGACATCTCTTTGCACTGGTAAATATTAGCTGGAAAAAACCCCTCAAATTTTTAGTTGCTGATTAACCATTAAGGCGATGTTCAGTAAAGCACTAACCCAATAATTATCATAAGGTTAGACATATATTATTATATGTGTCTGTTTGAAGACTCCCTCGAGTTCCTCAGACAAGAGTCAATAACCTACTATGCAAGAAGTATTCCCTCTCTGGATTACTATGCTGAGGTACTGGAAATCAAAGCTCTAGATAATGAACATTGTTGAGTGAAAACTATTTCCCGGTTTTTTTAAGGCAATTGTTTTTTTTATCGTTTAGAATATATATAATCAGACATATTAAATTTTGAATTATCTAATGACTGCCGAAAGTGCTGATATATAAACACGAAATGTGATGTACTTGTTTTGAAAAAGGGTATTATGAGGTATTCCTTTGCACTGTAACATGTAAGATTTCCCCCATAAAATGAAAGGACCCCGAGGTAGACGAGAATCCAGTCTGTTTGGTGTAGGACCACATGGATCAAGTATGTGTACCCCACCATGTGGCCAGAATAACAAATAACGCTGGAAGCCGTTCGGTGCTCTCTGTTATCGAATACAGGCCAACAGAGCAGTACAACATTATTATTATTGTAAGTATATAATAATGATAATTGGTATGTTTTTAATGTTTGTTTGTTTTTTGTTTTATTTTCCAGGAAAGGAGCGCCCATCTACAACTCGGTTCAGTACACTGATGGCAAGGCTGGGAGACACTGGAATTATGAGCTCCTGGACTCATGACGTAATTGCCAGGCACATCAAGAAGACCAGGGATGCGGCATCTGGGGCCGCAGAAGGGGGAGCAGCCAATGACTGTAAAACATTCATCTAGCTCTATTGCTTTACCTTACCTAAGAACATAAGATCATAAGAATGGAGGAAACTGCAGCGTGCCTATTGGCCCATACTGGGCAGTCCCATTTACACCCAATTCCTATTGCTCATATAAGCATCCAAACCTATGTTTGAAGCTATCCAGCGTATTCGAGTTAATGATGATATTTGGTAACGTGTTCCACTCATCCACTACTCAATTTCCAAACCAATGTTTACCTATTTCGCGCCTAAATCTAAATTTGTCTAATTTAAAACCATTGTTACGAGTTCGCTCCTGGTTGGATAGTTTGAGTACCTTTGTAATGTCCCCTTTGTTTAGCCCTGATTTCTATTTATACACCTCTATCATGTCGCCCCTCGCTCTAAGTCTCTCGAGGGAGTGAAAATTAAGATGCTTCAACCTGTCTCTGTACTCAAGGTTCTTAATGCCCGGGATTAGTCTTGTCATTCTCTACTGAATTCTTTCCAAGGATTCCATATCCAATCCATTCTGTAATACGGTGACCAGAATTGAACTGCGTAATCCAAGTGAGGTCTCACAAGCGCAAGATATAGTCTTAAGATGACCTCGCTAGTCTTGTACCTAACACTCCTTTGTATGAACCCAAGTACTTTATTAGCCTTGTTTCGAGCACAAACACATTGTTTACTTAGCTTAAGATTCCTTATCATTACTCCTAAAACTCTCTCGCAGTCGGATTTCTCAATAACATCGTTGTTCATGTGGTATCTGGTTTCCCTGTTTACATCTCCTATACTGAGTACTTTTGCAACAGCCAATGAGCTGTAACTTTTGGGAAAAAGCGAACTATTTGATGTAATTTCTATGATATACTACAACTACATCTCAGTACCCTACTGTATGTGCTTGACGCAATAAAATAAGAAGATTATATGTTTGGTGTCGCATTGTAATTCAAAAAGAATAATAAAATATTAAATATATATATTTTTATTCTTCTCGGCTTCAACATTTGTGATTTTAGACCTCTTTTGGGGGATGCTCATCTTGTTCTTGTCTTTACTGATTCTTGTGTCATAATTTGGGCAGTATTCACCTTCAGTAAAAAATAAGACAGAAAATAGACTTAGAAATATAATATTTCCAGTTTTTAACTTCTTGATATAATTAATAATCATAATGTACGATTATATATTATTATTTTTATTATTATTATTATTATTATTATTATTATTATTATTATTATTATTATTAATATTTTTAGTATTGTTGTTATTATTACTTATTATTATTATTATTATTATTATCATTATTATTATTACTAATATTAATACTAATATTATAATTATAATAATAATTATTATTATTATTATTATTATTATTATCATTATAATTATTATTATTATTAGTAGTAATACAATTATACACAAATAATCCGCCTAAGCTACTGTTTTCATCCGCCATACGGCGGCTGTGTGTGTGTGTGTGTGTGTGTGTGTGGTAATTTAATAATTGTAATGACATTCGAAAGGTATTATCTAACGTAAAATTGATAAATCCAAAGAGATCATAATTATATTTTTGTAGTTTCTTGATCTACTTTTCGAGTGTTAAATAAACATAAACGCGTTTATATAAAGTATCAAAGAAACCCATCACGGGAGATCAGTTGACTTTCAATATGATTTCATATTTATGTTTTGGTTTTTATGAAAATTTGTATAATTTATATTTATATTTAATTCGTTGCACACTCTCCCTACAAAAACTAGATATTTTATGTAGTTTCAATGAGCAAATAGATATTTTTGTTAATGATAGCATATCACATTTACTGTATTTTTTCTTAACAAATCCTGTAGGCGGATGACCAGTCAAAGGGTAAGTTTTGCTTGATGTATGAATCTAAGGATGTGCTGCTGCGTGCGCGCTTTTATCGAACATTATAAATACTCCTGATTTAAGGTGTGAGGCGACGTTCTCCTCAGACCGCAGCGTCGACAAGTTACCACAGTCTGAGGACGTTAATTTTTGAACAGCATTTCTTCAGTGAATCTTTAATTTAAGGTAAGAAGAGCATAGTGCCATGTTTCTGTTAAAATATTTTGGTGTATGTATATGAGGGAAGTGTTACTAACTTTGACTTACACATGTGGAACAATATGCAGTGAAATAAATTGAGATTATATTCTCTTCTATGGTTTCGGTTCCTTGTAGTTCACTGTCTGTAAAAACGTTCTCGCAACTTAAAATTTTTTTCCGAGAATTTTACTCAACATACAGACACCGTGATAACGACAAGAATGTGATCAATATTTAGTAATACCTAGGCTTCCATTCAGAATCAGAAACTTTATTTATCTATATACCCAGAACCTTCCGGTTATATGGTATTGATTACAAAGAATAACGATTTAATATATAAAGATACAAAGTTTTTCAATTTCTTTTACAAATTTAGTAAAAAATACTAGATGCTGACATATGCTTTTGCTTGACAGTCAACCCAATGGACAAGCGAATACCTAATAATCCAGCTGTGTTAGCTGATCGAGCAAAGATCGTAAGGATGTGGCTGGATGGCATGTCAGCACGGAGGATTTCTTTGAAGGCCAGAGTCAGCCTCTCCACAGTGTACAGGTGGATCCATAGGTGGAGGGAGTACGGTACGGTGGAGACTCGGCCTTACCGTAGCAGGCTGCTCGGGAACTACCTCAACTTCACGTTACCATACATTAATACCAGTAATAAATATCTATATTATTCTCAAAATTTGTTACATAAGCAAATTGAAAAACCAGTATTTCCGTGTGAATATCATTAGTGAACTATATCTTATGTACTAGAAAGACCTAACATAACTTAACCTGATCTACGTTGATGTTACACTAATAACACAAAAAAAGGATAAAGAAGAATATTATGATTATAAACTGCTTTGTAATGATGTAGTTTGTAGATTTATTATTTAAGAAAGTTTATTTGTACTAAAGATTTAAAGTTATATTTCAAGTCACGAAATATACTCATGTAAAATTAATTTATTATTAAGATGTTATTAAGATAAGTGTCATTTGTATCCTAATTAGCTTCAGAGAATTTTGTTTTGTATGATTATAACAAAATTATTTCGCCCAAATTCAAAAGTGAATAGATAACGAGGATAAATTGTTAAGTATCTAAACATTACTCTGAACATTACTACTACTTATAACTTTTGCATCAGAAAATAAAGAATGTAACTACCTGTAAGTGTACCTTTGATATTGTTCATAACTACTGATGAACTGTGTTTATTTACATAATAAAATTACGTCAAAACAATCCAGCAGCATTTTTATGGGGAAAATAATTCCATCCTCACTCATAAACACAAAAGACCTGCACAAACAGGACGGGCAGACTTGATCAGCGAGTGTGTACAAAATTCAGACTGTTTCATTTACTACTTTGTTATACAGATGTATTACAGTCTCAAATTACATACAGTTGGCACACGATAATACATATGGGTCTCATATTTTTTTACCTAAGTTTACATGACTTGTTAAGTCGCCTATTTTTATAAGCACTACTTTCGTGTGGGGGTAGAGATGGTGTGTGGATTAGTGGATCCCATGTTATTGATCTGACCTGATGTTTTGCAAGGACACCCTTTGTTTATACAGTAAGCCTTTCTCAGTCCCTGTAAATTCAGTTGCCTCTGAAGATGTCTTGAATAAAGACGAAAGCTAAGGTTCTCCATTGTTTCCCTTTTCCTGTGTGATTTTATCGATATATATATATATATATATATATATATATATATATATATATATATATATATATATATATATATATATATATATATATATATATATATATATATATATATATATATATATATATATATATATATATATATATATATATATATATATATATATATACTGTGAGGGTCTATACCTTGATATTTCAGTTCAGTTTGATGCGCTCCGTTTACCAAATAGTGATGGTGGCTGCCATGCTTTGGAATAGTCCACCCGTATTAAGTAAGGAAGAGCATGGACCCGTGGAGCAGGTGGGCGTGGATGTGGGCGTGATGGTGAGTCAGGTGGTGGAGCACCATCTCACTGGCTGTCACCTGGTGCTCATCACCACTAGACCACAATCATTCATGACCTCCAGGATAATAAGGTGAGCTGTCCTTTTTTTCCAGTAATATCACCTGTTTGAGATATGAATACCTGAAGCTGTTTTTGGTCTAGGTTTAAACAGGTTGTTTGTTCTCAACGACCAACTGACCAAGGACCACCTCTTGCAGGGTTTTAATTTGAAACTTATGTCCCCTTACACATCAGTGTGGAGGCGAGCTTGATAGTGGAGGCAGGGTGGGTGTTGTCCCAGGACCAGATGGCTAAGGACCACCTCCTGCAGGGGCTGTGGGGGGACGCCAGATTCTCCTGTAGGGCTGTCATCCTTGACCTCACAGCCAGCAATAGTACTGACCTCGTCCTCAGGTAATGTTTTAAAGCTACAAGAAACTTTCATTCAATGATTTACAATTTTCTTTAATAATGTTTGCAGGATTTACCACTTAAGTGAAATGATCGACTTTTGTACATAAACATAAAACTGTCAATAGTCTGAGGAGAAAGAAGCAACAACCCTCGACATGGTTATGGTAAAGGCCAGCATGTTGCATGCAGGGTGTCTTGTTCTCTCGTTAACCGATAATGCACATGTATAAGACCATATACTCATAGGAAATGAAGTGCTGGTATTAACAACGTGTAAGGGTGGACTTAACGATTTAATAATCAAAACACACAGCACTGGTATGGCACGGGGCAGCATTCCCACGACGCACGGGCACACTGGACTCCTACATACACAGCTCACGGAAGGACTACCACAGTATACACAGCTCATGGCAAGACTGCCACAGCAAACACACAGCTCACGGCGGGACTCCCACAGCACGCACAGCTCACGGCATGACTCCCACAACACACACAGCTCACGACAGGACTCCCACACCACATACAGCTCACGGCGGGACTCCCACACCACACACAGCTCACGGCGGGACTCCCAGAGTACACACAGCTCACGGCAGGACTCCCACCCCACACACAGCTCACGGCCCACACACACAGCTCACAGGACTCCCACCACACACAGCTCCACACCACACACAGCTCGGCAGGACTCCCACCCCACACACAGCTCACGGGGACTCCCACCACACAGCTCCGGAACTCCACCCCACACACAGCTCACGGCAGGACTCCACCACAGCTCGGCAGGACTCACAGCACACAGCTCACGGCAGGACTCCCCAGTACACACAGCTCACGGCAGGACACCCACCCACACACAGCGCACGCAGGACCCACCCACACACACAGCTCACGGCAGGACTCCAACACACAGCTCACGGCAGGACTCCCACACACACAGCTCACGGCAGGACACCCACATACACGCTCACGGCAGGACTCCCACACACACAGCCGGACTCCCGCTCAGGCACTCCACAGTCCACACGCTCACGGGACTCCCACATTACACACAACTCACGGCAGGACACCCACAGTACACACAGCTCACGGCAGGACACCCACCCACACACAGCGCACGGGACTCCCACCACACACAGCTCGGCAGGACTCCCACAGTACACACAGCTCACGGCAGGACTCCCACATACACGCTCACGGCAGGACTCCCACTACACAGCTCACGGCAGGACTCCTACAGTACACACAGCTCGCGGACTCCCAACGCTCACGGCAGACTCCCACACACACACAGTTCACGCAGGACTCGCACAGTACACACAGCTCACGGCAGGACTCCCACAGTACACACAGCTCACGGCAGGACTCCCACAGTACACACAGCTCACGGCAGGACTCCTAACACACACAGCTCACGGCAGGACTCCTAACACACAGCTCACGGCAGGACTCCAGTACACACAGCTCACGGCGGACTCCCACAGTACACACAGCTCACGGCAGGACTCCTGACACACACAGCTCACGGCAGGACTCCCAGTACACACAGCTCACGGCAGGACTCCCACAGTACACAGCTCACGGCAGGACTCCCACATTACACACACAACTCACGGCAGGACTCCCACAGTACACACAGCTCACGGCAGGACTCCTACAGTACACACAGCTCACGGCAGGTCTCCTAACACACACAGTTCACGGCAGGACTCACACAGTACACACAGCTCACGGCAGGACTCCACAGTACACACAGCTCACGGCAGGACTCCCAACACACATCAGCTCACGGCAGGACTCCACAGTACACACAGCTCGGCAGGACTCCCACACCGCTCACGCAGGACTCCTGATACACACATCTCACGGCAGGACTCCCACAGTACACACAGCTCACGGCAGGACTCCCACAACACACACAGCTCACGGCAGGACTCCGCAGCACACACAGCTCACGGCGGGACTCCTAACACACACAGCTCACGGCAGGACTCCCCAGTACACACAGCTCACGGCAGAGACTCCCACAGTACACACAGCTCACGGCAGGACTCCCCAACACACACAGCTCGGCAGGACTCACAGTACACACAGCTCACGGCAAGACTCCTACAGTACACACAGCTCACGGCGACTCCCACAGTACACACAGCTCACGGCAGGACTCCCCAGTACACACAGCTCACGGAGATCCCAAGCGTCAAGGCAGGACTCACCCCACACACAGCTCACGGCAGGACTCTCACCACACACACAGTTCACAGCAGGACTCCCACAGTACACACAGCTCACGGCAGGAATCCCAGTACACATAGCTCAGGCAGGACTCCACACACACAGCTCACGGCAGGACTCTCACCACACACACAGTTCACGGCAGGACTCCACCCACACACACCTCACGGGGGACTCCCACCCCACACACAGCTCACGGCAGGACTCCACACACACAGCTCACGGCAGGACTCCCTCCCCACACACAGCTCACGGCAGGACTCCCACCCCACACACAGCTCATGGCAGGACTCCCACCCCACACACAGCACATGGCAGGACTCCCACCCCACACACAGCTCACGGCAGGACTCCCACACCACATACAGCTCACGGCAGGACTCCCACACCACACACATCTCACGGCAGTACCCCCACAGCACACACACTGCTCACGATAGAAAGTGTTGACTGAGCCAGGCAGGACTCCGACTGCCGGGGTGATGGTTCGCGGCTGTTAACTCACCTCTGTCTCACCACCTCGTAGTCCCGTCTTATTGGCCAGTACCATTATGACGTGCTGTTTTTGATTGACGTCAGTAATTGCTGCTTGAACCGGCCAACAGGTCCTTAGCCAGCTAGTCCACAGTCATGGCATGAAAATATACCATTGACTTTACCTTGGTTTTAAATGTATGCAACGGACTAATAAGGGTGAGTGAGGTAACAGGTGAATGAGCACCGGTTTCTAGTCGCATTTAATGGAGATCATCGAGGTAATCAAGGCAAGTATTTACTAAATTGTGTTTGAACAGAAAAGTGCGGAGAAGAAAAAATAAACATACAATCCAGTCTCTACAACTGTGTAAAGTGATGGTCAGTGCCAGGAGGTGGAGGCGGGTTATCCTTATTTCCCGTAAAAGGTCTTTATTCTCTTCTCTTAGGCCAAAGGTTATTAAATGCTACCAACTAGAGGTGATGCCTCCTTTATGTATGTATGTATGCGAGAAGCCATGTAATTTTCATGAGTTAAAGTGGTGTGTTACGTTTAAATACATAAATCGGCTTACCAAAATCACTCCAGCTTATTTTTATTTTAATAATGACTTCACTTAAGCGATTTTCATCAGCCGATGTCAGTTTGCCAAATCAAGTATAAACGTGTTGAACTTTAGTCAAAATTATATTAAACCCTGTCCGATCATTTAACCCATTCAGCTTTTGTATTTGGGTTTGTACCAAATGTGAAAACTAATACTAATTTATTAGCTTGATCAGAGGCAATATACTGTAATATAATGCAATATGACCTTCAATTTCAGGTTGTTAGAAGTGGCAGGACTGAGAGAAAGAGACGCGTGTGATGGTGGTGGGAGGATGACAGCAGTGAAGGACGTCCTCCTACACCGTGTTTTCCACAACACCATTCGCCCTCTATATGGCCTTGATGACCTCACCCTCAACATGCCTCCGCCACGGTAACTCACGCCTTAGGAAGATCCTCCCGAAGAAAGGTTGGTGCATCTTTTTATTGTAAATTAATTTTTTTTTAATAATTGAACATTCACCCGAAAATGAACCACCTCTCATCCTCAACAATGTGCACCAAAAAAAGTTTCCGGGCTATTTAAGAGTTTTCCTTTCTTAATTTTCTCATACAGTTTCCTTGGCTTGAGAATAACCCAGTGTCAACCCTTACTCAAAACTGTGATTCATCGTACTCTTCCAACAATTAATCCAAATTTAATAATTTCTTAATTCGGGGAATCTGACAAACAAACAACTATCCCAGCACCTTGATAATCACAACCTGATCCTTCGATATAAAACACAAACATTATACTGTATATATATATATATATATCATGTAAATCCACAATGAAAACGTGGATAAGATAAATCTTGATAAAATCACACGGGAAAATGGAAACAACGGAGTACCTTAGCTTTCGTCTTTATTCAAGACATCTTCAGATGTCTTGAATAAAACAATAAATCTTTCTTTTTATATATATATATATATATTATACATATATATATATATATATATATATATATATATATATATATATATATATATATATATATATATATATATATATATATATATATATATGCAAGTAAATCACTGTAGGTGCTCGTGATCTAGGTATATGCTGATAACCACAAGGAAAGAAGAAAACACGAAGTTCCCAAGCGCTTTCGTGTAATTCACATCTTCAGGGGTGAGTACAGACTAGAGAGAGAAATACAAATCAAGGTGTGTGTATATATACAGAGAAGGGTGAGACCAGGTCCACAATGGTCAGGTATTAGGTAATGACCCTACTAATCTTTAAATAGCACACAACGGTTGGTGGTCAGGTCAGATGGTCAGGTGACCCGGCCTTCTCACCTGGTCACAAATCTTCTTAATTACAAAATTGTCCAGCTTGTACATGCCGTTACTCAAATTCATAGCCGAGGGCACACAAGGTATCATTGTCTAGTTGTTTAGAGGAGAGATTCACTACACAGTTGTTATTGGCATCCTTAGTCCAATCACTATTTCTAATAAGGAGTGCCAATTTGTGGTCTATCTTGGCTTGAAGATCAGAACGCTCACGTCTCAGGTTATCAAAACAGTAGTCCAACATGAACTTTTTCCAATAACTCGGTATGGTCATATTAAAAGCAAGCTTTTTTTGTCTTACAATACGGAAGGCTTCATCCACTTCAATTTTCTTTATTTCAAAATGTTTCTTAAGGATGATTTATTGGAACTCATCAAAGGGGCGGTCAGACATCTTCAGGACACGTTGTAAATTGCCATTCCTAGACTGTCTGATAACATAAGAACATAAGAAAATAAGGAGTCTGCAATAGGCCGGTTGGTCTGTGCATGGCAGCTCCTGTCGAGAGTTACTACCACTCTCTATCATCCATGAATCTATCTAGCCTTCTTTTGAAACTTTCCAGAGTTCCCGCACTTACTACAAAGTTGCTAAGCTTGTTCCACTCGTCCACCACCCTATTTGTGAACCAGTTTCTTCCTATCTCCCTCCTAAACCTAAACTTATCCAACTTGAATCCGTTGCTCGAGTCCTATCCTGCTCGGATATTATAAGAACTTTATCTATATCCCCTTTATTGATTCCTTTCACCCACTTAAATACTTCTATCATATCTCCCCGCACTCTTCGTCTTTCTAGGGAATGCAAGTTAAGTTTCTTTAACCTATCCTGATATGGAAGGTTTCTAAGTCCCGGAATCATTTTTCGTCATTCTTCGCTGCACCGACTCTAGTGAATTTATATCCATTCTATAATAGGGGCACCAGAACTGAACCGCATAATCGAGGTGGTGGCCTAACTAGCGCAAGCATATAGCTGCAATAAGACCCCCACTCTTGTTACTATACACTTCTAGATATAAACGCAATAATTTGTTTGCCTTATTTCGAAAAACCAACTAATGTGTGTTCATACATTCATTATTATTCTGCCCACCATAATAAAGTCAAACAGTCAGTATTTTCAACAATGTTTTTACGTGCCTTGAGAATTTGCAGTCCGGAATTCATCGATGAGGAATACAAATATATATATAATATTGGCTCAAACCTTAAATACCCTAGATCTTTCATAGACAAATGCCTAAACATTACTAAGAAAACTTTTTATAGAACTGATCCCAAGCCCACCCATGACCATAAGAATATCTTAATATTACCATTTCACAAAAATTTCTCACACATTCCTTCACAACTAAAAACCTGGAACGTCAATGTGGCATTTAAAAACTCATGCACTGTTAAACAAATGTTAATCAAGAACTCCCCCAACAACACAATTGGTTGCATTTATAAAGTTCCTTGCAAGGAATGTAATATGTTTTACTTAGGCCAGACAGGTAAAGATCTTGCAACTAGAATTAAACAACACAAATACAGTGTTAGGACAGGCCAGGAATCCAATGCTCTGTTTGTTCATTTGAGGGATAACAAGCATTGCATTGACTGGGATAATGCCTCCTCAATATTACCATGTAATTCAATTGATAGTAGGAACATCATAGAATCTAGTCTTATTAAACATACCGAAGCATTCAACATGAATTTGAGTAACGGCATGTACAAGCTGGACAATTTTGTAATTAAGAAGATTTGTGACCAGGTGAGAAGGCCGGGTCACCTGACCATCTGACCTGACCACCAACCGTTGTGTGCTATTTAAAGATTAGTAGGGTCATTACCTAATACCTGACCATTGTGGACCTGGTCTCACCCTTCTCTGTATATATACACCTTGATTTGTATTTCTCTCTCTAGTCTGTACTCACCCCTGTACATACTGTATATATATGTCAGAGAGGGAAAATGGAAAACTAGCATCATCAAGGGTGCAGAAAGTTGGAGGGCGGAAATGCTGCTTAAGCGTGTCGCAGGTGTGAGATGCAGTTATTAGAGCAGGTCTCCTCTGGGGGGTCGTATGCATACTTTTTTTCTTTCAGCACATGAGGACAGTGCTGTCTTTTTTAGGGGGTCGATTGTAATATTCAGGAATTTTTATGTGATATTTAGAGACATTAGAACATAAATGACCGATCTGCCGAACAGGAAAACGCAAGTAGGCTAGGCTGAAACACCCACGCCTCGTGGCGAGTTAACACAAAGTCCTCCAAGCAACGCCATCAGTCAGGGGATGGAAGCATTTTGAACTAGGCCAATAAAAATTTAAATGTACTTTATCGAATTAATGTAGACGCGATTCATGAAGTTAAGGGACAATTATAAAATTTAAAGTTATTGTGGATTGTTTCTTAGTCTAAATATGTTACTTGTGTCCCAAAGAAACTATTAGAAATAAGCTCGGGATGACGTCATGGGGGGGGGGGGGGGGCAGGCGAGCGCCCTGAAGAATGCCGAGGGAGATGGGATCTCAGTTAGTTCCTGTCATTGACCGAGAAGGACGTCTACTACTCGTTCTACCAAGGAAAACGACCACGTGGCTTCGTCCCTTCCCGGGAATGTTTCATCCGTGTTGCAAGTAAGCTTTTATTTGATCTCAGACAGTGTTTAGATAGGGTGAAGAAGAATTTAACAGTAGTTAACAAAGTCGTCCTTTTGCAGGGTTATGAGAACCCACTTGGTTGGTCGGTGGTTAGTGGTCGGTTTGGAAGACATAAATGGCAACGCACGAGGCGAACAGGTGTCTCTGACGACTAACTGCGTGGGACCAGCATCCGCACTTTGGTCGGTGGTCGATCTGGTTCATCAAATCTCAACACCTTGGTTCATACAACACCACATCTCTACAGTCAGTCAGTGAAAAATGTTACTAACGGGAAAGTAGAACCCCTCCCTCAGCTGGGCAGGATTCACCTGGTTGAACTCTGAGCTGTCCTAACTAGGCGGGCTGAAAGGTCACTCTCTTCCTATCCATGAAGTATTGGGAGTAAAATGAGTGCAGACTGAGTGAATGAAAAGTCACACGCTGGACCGGAAGTTCTAGTGGTTACATAGAGACATTCATCTCCCCAGTATTGGGTGTATGTGATTAAAATAACCAAGTCCAGGTGTGTAATCAACGTTCCTCATGGTTGATTGCACACGTGGGACGTAGTGGTTCCTCTTCAAAAATTGGTGGAACGCTGTAGCACCATAAAGTATGCGTGTATTCTGAACCTATGTGTGAAGCATGTTACGGGTGTCGGTGGAAAAATACACTCATGACTCCTGAAACCTAGAAAGAGCAATGAAAAAAACAGCGGAGCACCCGCCTGCCTAACGGGTCATGAGTGATTTTCTCGGTTTCTTGTAAATTCCTGCCACTTGGCAGGTTCGTAGTTACAACCTTTGGGTTCTGGGTAGTTAGGACAGTTAGGATTAGAGTATTTTGTGGGTCATCCCAGACAGGCTGTGAGTGATCCATGTTCTTGTGTATTATGACTAAATCGGGATTTCTATTCCTCAGTGAATGCAATAATTTTGTGGGATGCCCTTAAGGCATGTTCATCGGTGCAAGTAATATTTTTTAATGTCTTATGTGCCACTAAGTGATGTAGGATGTACGAAGGAATTATTTCAGATGAGTTCTCCGTTCTGGTGTCTATTCTGGTGTATATAGTACTGCTGCATTAGTAGTTCTTTTCAGGTGCAATTAATATATTTCAATATTTTTTTTGATACCGTGGATAACTTTTGTTTCCCATTGTAGTGTTATAAGCCACGCTAAGAGGTACTCTATTGCTTGTGTACAATTATTGATTTCGTCTGTAGTGTTGGAAGGAATAGAAGTGTTATCTTTTACCCGTGCGTCTCATGAACCCCAATCACAGGTACTAGCTTTTTTTATGGGATTAACCCACCAGGGCACAGGTCAATGACCCATATCAGGGCCTGGGGACGAAAATATAATAATAGTGCTAATAATAATAAAAATAACTAATACAAAAAATATATATTAAATATAAATATAATATGCAGGAAATATAATAGAATATATTATATTATACGTAATATAATTTAATATAATAACAATGATAATAACAATAAAGGACAATAAATATATACAAAAAATGATCAAAAGTGAGAAATGATACATATACTGCATGTTGTGTTGTCAAAATAAGAGAAACAATTGAAACCCTACAATTGTGTGTAAATCAGGCAGAAAGTCAGATGAGCAGCCTGGTACTTGGTCAAAATTTTCGTGATGCCATATGGCAGCAGGATCTACCATTAGCTAACTTATGCTTCCAATATCTTCCCAGGCGGTAGTACCTCCCTGTTTGGTAGCTGCCTACTACCTACTACCTACTGAGCACTTGCATTTCCATCAACTATAATTCAACCCAATAACTAGCAGTGAGCAATTCAGACCAGTTACACACACACACACACACACACATATATATATATATATATATATATATATATATATATATATATATATATATATATATATATATATATAATGATAAGTTATGAAAAAATTTTGATCACTCAGTTTAGACCAGCAACTCTCGTCAAACAGAGCGTTGAATTTCCCTTTTGGGACTTTCTTACTTTCACTTAGAAAGGTGTTCCATTGTTTCCCTTTTTCCTGTGTGATTTTATCATGATTTATCTTATCCACGTTTTCATTGTGGATCTACATGAAATATGGAACTTAACGTCTCTCTTACGCTGTGTCCTTAATCTGTCAACAACATCCTCATCTTCGCCTCATCTACCGTAACTAGAAGAAGAGTTTGCTGAAAGCTCATAATCTCAGAAACAAGTTGAAGTTCCTAAGTCTTGTCTTCCAAAAAGATTAAGAAATCTGGACAATCAACCCTTCTCTGAGTTGGATAAAGTGCTGCTGGACTCCCTTATCAAGAGTTCAAGTGATAGTGTAAAATTGGCATTTAAGCACAGTGCTCAGTGTAAAATACTAATGCAAAACAGTGTTTGTGTTGATAAGTGGCATATCATTCGAGATTTTTTATATAAATTTCTTAGTGAAAGTGACAAAGTCCAAAAAAGGAAATTAAATGCTAAATTAAATGCTCTGTTTGAAGAGAGTTACTGGTCTAAGCTGAGTGATCTAAACGTGTTCATAAACTTATCATATATGTATTTATATATATGTATATATATATATATATATATATATATATATATATATATATATATATATATATATATATAAACATTATAGTATATATAGACTATCTCCCAGGAGGACGCAGTGAGCGTGTGTGGGTGTACCGGCGGTGTGTCTACTGCAACAACGGGAGGGCGGACGTCCTGTTCATCCACCAGTACAATATAACGTCACTCCCCCAGCCCACTGACAACTTTTTCCAAGGTGAGATATCCTAATTTTGTCTTAGATCCCAATAGCAATGGTGTCTGTGATATAGTGAACACAATGCATTTACGAAATTTATTGATATTATTGGGCCGCGAGCTTGTAATTTAACAAGTATTTTTCATTTACCGTATATAACTGTACTTTATATCTTATAAAAAAACACTAGTATTAACCCTTAAACCTGCGGCTAAATAATTCAATTATCATAGTCCCAGATACAGCCAAGTCAAGGTTTTTCTTAAGATAACAGAAAAATTCATATTTAAAGACTAGGCCTATATGAAGAAAAAATTGCAATGCATTTTTACTTAAAGTGACATAAAATATTGGAAGTTGCATGATATGACCTCACATTATTTGCGGTTGCCCAAGTCAGCAGTGGGACTGCCACGCTGTGCTGTTTTTCAGAACGTATACAAAACCTGATGGGCCACAAGCTGAAGATCGTGTCAGTGCCGCACTTCCCTTTCATGGACTTCAGCAGAGACATCGAGTCAGGCAGCATTATAGTACCCAGAGACTCCATCGACGCCCGCATGCTAAAAACCATCGTGTCTAAGCTTAATTTCACGTATGGAAAAATACCCAGTTCCAAGAGGCCATTTTGTAGATGTTACCCTGAAATATTCAGCCTTACCTTAATATAAACCTCTGAAGTTAGGCTTATATTAGATTTCAGGAAGACAATCTCTCCTCTAGAGAAATTTCCGCTATTATTTTTTTTTTTTGAGGAATACGTAAATTTTGAAATACGTATTGACAATTAAAATGGCATTTGGTTGTTATTTGTGGCATTCCTGAAGTCTAATAATTCTAAATGAACTTTATTTGTTTATAGTGTTCAGGTTAACAAATCGAAACAAATGTTTTTAATGGCATTATTCAAATTGTAAGTATTTAAGTTAAAACAAAATTGAAAAGCAAGTATATATTAGGCAAAATTAAGAGAAACTTGAATACATCACATAAGTTAATAAATTTTAATTTCGTCTCCTCTACAACCCAGTTTCGAGCATCGCGCTGAGCCTGAACTTACGTGGGGTCTGGAGAAGAACGGAACTTTCAACGGGATAATTGGTCAGCTTCAACGAGAGGAAACCGACTTCAGCACAGTAGCAGGTCCTACACCATCACGTTTCAAGGTTGTAGATTACGTGAGAACTTATCCTGCAGACATTATGACCGTTATTTCTCTGAACCCTACACTACTGCCTCAACACCTGTCGTTAATAAGACCATTTGAAGGTAAACAAACCATGTCGTCAATGACTGTCGCCATATTAGATGAAACAATATAAACTAACAGAGAGTGAAGCTCTTTGAAGAATAACTCACAGTAGAGGAGGTTGGATGACAGTGGTGAGGCTCCTCTCAGGAAGCTGTAAATATGCTGTAAAGTACCTGTATGTAATAATGAGTCATGAAGACGAAGGGCTACTTCCTTAATCAGGTGTCACTACCGTTTTGTAAACACTAAGAAATCTGAAATCTTATGAAATATTGCTCTCAACATCACTTCATACAAATAAGTTTATCTTATTACAGGTACTTGGAGCATGATTGAAATAACTATAATTTTATTCCTATGTATATTTTTCCAACGATCATTAACCACAGCTGTATTCCAAGCACGTAAGTGTTTTAGTTATCACCTGCTACCTTCCTCAGGAGATCTTTGGTTTGCGCTAATAGCGAGCGTAGTGGCATGGGGTTTGCTTATGTGGTTAATGCAGAGGGCATGGGGGTGGGTGGCGGGAGGTCGCGGTGTGAAGTTCAGTACCGCCATCCTGTACAGCTGGGGCGCCCTCCTGGAGCAGCCGCCTCCTAACACCGCCATCAGTGACTCAGGACGTGTAAGTTTTATTACAGCTGATTTTATCAACATATAAATTCTTAAAAAAAAATAATATTCATCATGGGACAAAAGCGGGTGAAACCGAGGTATCTAATGAATTGGGAAAATAATGAACAACTCATTTAAGGGAAACTGAATACCAGCATTACGTAAATATAATATTTTAATATAATTACAGTAAGGTTGGCATTGAAATACCAAGTTGTAGTTAACGAAAACTAAAGTAAATACAATGAACTTTAATCATTCTGAAAAGTAGCTTTCCTTAATTAGTTTTGTATCTAGTAGTAACTGTATTAACTGGGTAATCTATGTTAGGGTAATATGTTCGTTTGTGCAGGAGGTAAGGTCCATTCCCGTCTTTTATCACCTTCCATGCATACATCAGTATATTTCCGCGTATCAATACCCTTTAACAGATTCCTGGTGTTGCAGCTGAAGGGCGTGATTGCACTACACTGTGATTAATGTACTCGTATATACTTGTAATGTGTGAACACATATGTTGAAGAATTTGTCGGAGAGTGTAGCAACTGTTTACATATTTGTGATAATATGATTAAATTGTAATTCTATGCTGAATGGTTGATGGCTATCTGGTCATCACTTGTAATTATATGATCACTGTAATAATCTTCACCGTACTCGCAGCTGTTGGTGGGTTGGTGGCTGGTGTTCTGCCTGATCATCACCACGGGCTTCCGCTCATCACTGATCGCGCATATGACAGTCCAGGGAAAGACGCTGCCCATTGAGACCTTCGAGGACCTGGTGAAGCAAGACAACTGGAAGTGGGGCACTGAGCCCTGGATCTTTAGCGGTATACCTTATGATTATTTCTCCAAGCATACCGACCCGGTTATAAAGACGATATATCAGAAAGTAGAGGTAAGTCTCTTTGTACAATCACCCAACTCAATGATGTCACGATTTTCAGAAATTATTAACCAGAAAGAGGTATCTGGCAACTACCAGACTCGTGTTATTTTTGCATATATTTTTTTGAGGTAAAACGCAATATTGTGAAATAATAACATATTTTAATTCACAAATGCTAAAACAGTTTATCATAAGAATATTGTGAAAACAAACCATGTTGTTAGAATTATAGTTCAGTATTTTGAAACGATATATGACATTCCAAGTTATCGCTCATGGACGTCCAGGTAATAATTTGCGGAGTTATAATTCGACGTCAAACTGAAATATGTACGAAATAGAAAATATGATTTTAAATAATTGTCATACTCATTACGTTTATACTAAGTCTTTAATGAATAAACAAATATTTTACTTATTCACACCGCTTAAGGATAAGAGAGGGTATAGGCTTAAATAATGTTTAGTGTTACATTTTACCCAAAGTATTCATAAGAAAATATATATTTTTTTTTTACTAGAATTAGCCCACCCGGGCACAGGTCAAACGACCCACAACGGGGCCTGGGTGGGGGGGGGGGGAAATTAACATTTATGTCCTGAAAATACTCTGTTTTTAGCAACCAAGAATAATATATAAATCATTAAAGAATCCCGTTTACTTAGGAAAAAATAAAACTTGGCTAAATTGTTAACTTCTGTGAACGCTTATTCAATTAATAATTATATAATAGCAGCAAACGTCTTTCATATTGTTCAATAAGTAAAACAACTTTTAAACAAGGTAATCAGCCATGTGCATAATACTCTACAACTACACCTAGAAGGGTTATCGGCGTGGCATCGGAATGGCTGACGTTTTTCTTCTGCAGCTATATGCCCCACCCAGCCCACACCGCTGTTTGAACCAATCATACTGAAACTGGTGAAATCACTAAAGCAGATTGTACAACACGGCAACACACACCTACCTATTATTATGAATACAGAAGTAGTGAACCACCGAATCTTCTAATCTTTATTTAGGAATGCAATAAACAAACTTCTGCATTTACACATATGCAAAATACTGTACTATCTACAGGAGAAATTTAACTTAAGATTTCGTAAGAAAATGGTCAATAAATGATGAATTGATATTTTTTGGTGTCATACATATATATATATATATATATATATATATATATATATATATATATATATATATATATATATATATATATATATATATATATATATATATATATATATATATATATTTCATTAGCCCAAAAAGCACACTGACTTTTACATACATCAAAATTTGTTTGATTAGGATACTAAAAGCAGTCCTGTGTGAAATATTACAAAGTCTAGGACTGCTTTTAGTATCCTGGTGGTCCAGAGGTAGCGTTCTCGGTCACAGTCATGGGCCCGTGGGCAGTGGGGTTCGAACTATGGGTTGAGGTGTTGATTGTATATATATATATATATATATATATATATATAAGTAATTCAGATTGAACTAAATGATATTCACCAGCCAGAATTCGAACCCTCGACCTCTGCTTGTGAATAGGGATCACAACCACCGCGCCACATAGTTGACACGGGCAATCCCCAGTGGAGGTTCACGGCACTGATGGTAGCACGATAGAACAGGCTTCGTGTGAAATATAACAAAGTCTAGGATTGCTTTTGTTGTCCTAGTGGCGAGGTGGTAACGGTCCATGTTCACATGCAGATGTCGAGGGTTCGAATCCTGGCTGGTGAAGTCTTGATTGTATATTTGAAGTCCACGTGCTATATGGACTAATATATATATATATATATATATATATATATATATATATATATATATATATATATATATATATATATATATATATTGTAGAGAGTAACGAAGACGGAAGGGCTGCAGAAGGTCTTGGATGGAGGCTTCACACTAATCCATTGGGAAATTTACTTCTCCATCTTTATTGACTCCTACTACAGTGACGCTCACGGCAACACCCCCTTCCACGTCAGCAAGAAGGGCGTCCCCATGATTGCGTTCTTTGGATGGGCATTTAGGTGTGTTGAATATGTGTTATCTTGTTTTACGAAGCCCCAAAAGGCGGCAAGTAAGCCCCGTTTAGTACCCAAGTTTGACGACCCATAAGATAATTTGTGGAACTTAAATTGATCTGGTGTAAAGCGTCGGTGTGGGGTTAGATCACGATCTTCTTACATGTAAAGCTTTCCTCCATAATATCACAATTTATATTTCATTAATTGGTACAGTACTTCGCTGAGGTGTTTATACAAGACTTTGATGAGTTTGTATATCAACCTCACTAATGATGTTATTTTTATTAACCTACTCCTATTTTTTTTGTGTTTTATTTAGGAAAGGTGCACCATTTTATCCACGTTTTTGTGAGCTTATATTTCGATTACAAGATGCCGGAATTATAAGCCACTGGAATAAAGATGCGCTAGCCAGGCGCGTAAGAGAAAACAAGGCGGCTACAGGACAGCACACCCAGAAAGACCCAACTCAAGTAAATATTGTCTCTCATGTATGTCCATGTGTGTGTGTTCGTATGTACAGTGTGGTAGCATTATGTTAGTGTTAAATTGCAGGCATTGCTTGCTTCCTCTCTGTTTCAGCTACCGCCGCTGGCTAGCCCTCGTGATGAACAGGGAAGCAACCTTGTGTAAGTCTTCTCCTGCCAGTACACTACCCCCTCACCATAAAGACTCCTGCTGTGCCTCCTCCTGGCATCATACGGAAACTGGATGCCTCGCGGCCCCAGACTAGACCAGTAGGGGATCTCGGAGCAGCAGTCGGCCCCAGAGGGGCGATGCATAGGCCCACTGACACGTGGACACGCCCTGGCGCCTACCAACCACTGTCCAGCTGCCTTGCGGATTAACCTTGGTAGGTATAAGGCTATGGGAAGAAACCCTGAACGAAAAGTATGTGGTGGAGCCCTTCATCGGGCAGACGTGCTTACAGTGCTCCAGTAAGACCCCAACGGCGGAATAGGCGAAAGAGGTGACCAACATGGGAGCCCAATGACTCAAGTCCGTTTGTTTATTATAGTACGTAGTACAATATAATACGAAACAACAAAGCCCAACCATTAAATTAAGCAACGGGGAACTAAGTAACCAATCACCGATCACTTCTACATTTGTTCATAATTTTTACTACGTACTATAGTAAACAAACGGCCTTGAGTTGCCAGCTGTCTCCAGCAGTGTTTGAAGAATTTTGAACGAGACTGTGCGTAGCTGGCATGACTATCGCCCGAGTCCTCCTAAAAAGACTTCTTCCCGAGGGAGAAATCTTCCTCCCTGAATCTCAATGTGGCTTTAGATCTTCACTTGGCACAGCTGACATGATCTTTGCTGCCTGCCAAATACGGGAAAAGCGCAAAGAACAGCGCCGTGACATGTACATGGCCTTCTTTGACCTTGCTTAGGCCTCTCTGTTGACTGAGTCAACTCTATGATGGCCTGAACGACAGTGCCCTGCACAATGGTGCCAGTCTGCGTTCTCCCCCATCCAAAGGGGGTAAAACAAGGATGTGTACTAGCACCAACTCTCTTTTCCTTTTATTGGCTGCCCTCCTTACTCGTACCAGCCCAATTTAGCCGGCAGGGTGGACATCCGATACCAGATGAAGGGAATTTTCAAAATAGGATGAGTTCAGGCAGGAAAATATGGTGTAGGCCGCCTCCATCACCCTAGTCGCTCATACTGAACGCACTGGTCTTGAGATGAATGCACATAAGACTTAGATTCTCTTACAGCCTGGCCCTGGCTCAACCACACCTCCACCATCCTTCCAGCTTAACGGTACTACTCTCTCCAATGTTACCCACTTCCAATACCTTGGCTCCCACCTGTCCACCACCGTAGACATCGATGAAGAGATTCAACATCGAATCCGATGTGCATCTCAAGCCTTTGGCAGAGTCCGTACCCATGTTTTCAGCTGTAGGGAACTGAAATTATCTATAACGTTGAACGTTAATCGAGCAGTGGTCCTCCCAACCCTGCTATATGGTAGCGAGACATGGGTTACATACTGGAGGCACCTCAATGCACTTGAAAACTTTCACCAATGTAGTTTACGTCCTATCTTACGAGTTCGCTGGGAGGACAAGAGAACAAATACCAGCATTCTCGCTGACACCAACTGTAGGAACATCGAGGCTACCATCTTCCATGAACATCAACGTAGACTGCCAAGGCAGCTACTTTACAGTCACCTAACGAATGGCAAATGTAACGCGACTGGACAACGAAAAAGATATAAGAATAGTCTTATGACAAACCTGAAAAAGAGCCGAATCGTCCCACTCACCTGGAAGAAGATCACTCCACACCGGAGGAGCACCATGCGAGAAGGGGATCAATGCTTTCGAGTAAGCCCGACTGCATACTGAGGCAGACAAACTCCAGGTCCGGAGAGACGCTGGCGTAGCCCCTCCTGCACTAGATGTAGCCACCCACACGTGCAACATCTGTGGACGACCCTGCCGGTCCCGTATCGGCCTCTCTAGTCACCTCAGAGCTCACCAACGAAAGTGGCATCCTTAATAACTCATATCATAGCCTCATAGATGAATGATCTTCATATTCGATTCCGAGTGACAGCAAAGTAGTAGTGTGTGTGTGTGTGTGTGTGTGTAATAATACAAAAATTATAATAACCGGTTTATTAATAGAGATTCAGCAGGTGGCTGAGAATATACAAACTTACATGAGATTTAGACATAATAATGCACGTTCAATACATTTACAGGGCTGTACAGTACATAAATGTGGAACTGTTTATTAATTTAACTGTAGATGGGATGGTGCTATTCTTATATTTATCAGTGAGGGCTCTTATGGGATGAATTTTGTTGTAGTGGCGGACTGCGCAAGGTGGGCGGGGGACTGCTCGTGGCAGGAGGTGGCGATGACGAGGATGGTGCAGTAGTTCACTACTAAACCCTGCTGGTGCGTGGTGGTGGAGGTCACTGAGGAATGGCATTTCCAGGATGGAGAGAGCGTTGTTGTAGCCGGAGTAGTCTGGGCCGAGCATGATTCTGCAGGCCCTCTTCTGTACCTTCTCTAGCTGACGTTGTTGCGTAGAGTTGAGAGAAGACGACCAGGCTGGTGACGCATACGTTAATTTTGGTAGTATAAATGCGTTGTAGATAGACTTCAGCTCTGGCGTGGGTGCCCCAAGTGACCTGAGTCGTCGTAGCATGTAGAATCGGTACGAGGCTGCCTTGATAGTTTGTTTACATGGGCCTTCCAGTCCAGTTTGGGGTCTATAGTTACATCCAGGAGTTTGGCAGACTGCACTAACTGGAGAGGATGGGCACCCACTGTAACTGCTGCAGCTTGCACTGGCGTGGTGGCGGTGTTGATGTGCATGACTACGGTTTTGGTGGGATTGGTGGTGACCTTGTTCTCCGTAATCCATGCCTGTAGCCTGTCCAAAGTGCCTTGTAGCGATGAGTAGTTCGGTGAGGTATTGTCCACTGTAACCCCCACAGTGCAGTCATCCACGTACTTCCACCTGTGAGGAGTGTCCGATAGAGCGTCGTTGATCAGGAGTAGGAAGCAAAGTGGTCCCATCTAGGTCCCCAGGGAACACCGCAGGTGAGGTGTTGAAATGTGGAAACAGAACCCTGGTACCTCAGTGCCTGACGATGCTCACTCAGGAAATCAGTGAGCCATGAGACCAGGTTGGTGGGCAGCCCTATTGCTATGGCCTTGTTCATAAGAGTGCAGTGATCAACAAGGTCAAAAGCTTTCTGAAGTCAACAAGGGCAACGGCCAGTGATATCTTACGTTTCTCCAGGTTTTTGTGCAGAAAATCCAGAAACTAACTAAGCAATGTGATGTAGAGGAGTTCTTCATTTTGCCAAATTGCTGTGGATCAATTGACTGATAAATACTAGCAAATGCTCATTCAGAAACAAAGTCTTCACAGAGTAAACTGGGTGGCAACTGGCCTGAGGTCACTAGGGGACTGTGAGTTGGGGACCTTGGAGAGAGTGGTGATAAATGCAGTTTTCCATTCATTAAGGCATTTGCTTTGTCTGAAGAATGCATTAATAATGGGACAGAGGGGGGTGGCAAGTTCGACTGCAACCTCCTTGTAAATTTTGATTAGGGGGTCATTTGGGGTTGTAAAGCGTTTGTGTGTATGTGTGTATGTGTGGTGATTATTTCAAACATTAAATAATGTAAATTCTGATGCAATTATAATTCCGTTTTATTAAAAAATCGTTGCTATACTTTTAATAAAGGTGAACACATATATTTGGCAGGTTGAGAGCAAGGAGATGTCGCTGGGGCTGCATCATCTGCAGGGTGCCTTCTTCCTATTATTTTTGGGCTTAGGCGTCGCTGTTCTCATGCTGCTGGTGGAGTACCTAGCTCACTCCCACTCCTCAGCCAACTAAACCCCTCCGAGGTTCATCAGAGTGCAAGGCAGTAACCAAAGTACTGTATATCTCAGTCGCCTTCCCCAACCTACTGTATAACTTATTTAGAACGACTATCTGAACACCCTGTCATGTTTCTTGGTTCTTTTTAGAGTGAATGAAAATAGCAACAGGTTCTCATTATACGAGTATGTCACTATTGGTGTAGAGTTGGTGTGATGGATAATTTCTTAGAGAATAATTTGCAAATTGCATTAATGAAGCACGTCACCAATCTATGTTGTGAAAACTCCAAATTGTTATTTTTCATTAATTTCTTCTATAGAGCACCTTTCTACATGGCGCCACTATAGAAATTATAAATATATTTGATAAGAGCAATGTACACAACACACCTCTAATGGTTCCTTCTCGATGCCTCCATTTAGTTGCCGAGACAATGAATTATTAACAGATAATATTTTCTAACAACTGTACTCTTTATGAATAAATATGCATTGATAGTTTCTTATGATTGAATTTATCATGTTTGTGTGTGTTAAACTCAATTTCACTTGGATATCTGATAATAAAGTTTTACTCATATCAAACTTCCAACTTTCCTTTGTCAGTCAGGACTACTCTGCCTTGTCTATGAACACTCTTTCCTCTTCCAGTTGTTCCAGACTTGCAAGTCAGAATTATTGTTGTTTAATAATTCTTATATTATCATATCTACCTTAATCCTAGATTTTTCCGGCAATCGTCTCTTTTCTGGTCTTTGATCAAAGGCCCAAAACTTCCGACTAATAAATTATTAACCCTTTTCTGAAAAATACTCATAAATACTCGGAAAAGAGAGTAAACACAAATAGGTT